CATGGATCATTATGCTGTCACTCAGCAATCAACTGACCGGTCTTGAGAAATTCTGCCAATTTGGTTCATATCAAAAATTTCACCCTGTTTAAGGTTTTAGTAAACTGTGATATGGAATTTTCAAAGTTGATGAACAGGCAACCGAAATGAAGTATTTCAAATTTTCCTCACACTTTCATTGAATTTCTTAGAAACTGATTGATTTATATTAGGTACAGGTTACTAGAACCATATACAGGGTGAAATTTTTGGTGATTATTACTCTCTACTAAAAAATTACTGAATCCAACCCTGGAAATAAAAGAATGTTGATTATTGTTGAGCTGAAGAATTGGGAATTATATTATCCCTACTTTTATTCGTGAAATTCATGCGTTGCGAAATATTAATTTTCAAATTAATACACTTTTGTCGCCAAAGTTTCGTGTGTAGTCAAAATTAATCGTTTTCTAAGAAATTCAATAAAAGTGTGAAGAAGATTTGAAATACTTCATTTTGGTTGCCTGTCCATCAACTTTGAAAATTCAATATCACAGTTCACTAAAGCCTAATACAGGGTGAAATTTTTTATATGAACCAAATTGGCAGAATTTCTCAAGACCGGTGCTGGATCTTTACAATTCTGAATACGTCAGTTGACTGCTGAGTGACAGCATAATAATCCATAAAAATATGAAAGGAATCGAAATAACTGTTGGAAAGTTATTATTGAAAAAATTTTGACCATATTCCATAAATCACTGTACAGATTATTTTAGAAGAGGCGGAGACAGTTTCTGATGGTCATTTGGTATTTCCCTCAGGTGCCTCTATTTGTAGTAGGAGCATGTACAGTTCCTCATGTCTCACCCTGTATACAGATTGGCCCTTTGACAACGAAACAGAGCCTCTGTAGGTCGCAAGAACCCGATTATGAAAAAACTTTCAAATACGTCGTTCTAAAATATTTTCAGCCCTATGAATTTTCGATTCTTCTCATTAATTCGAAAACTAAAAATGACACATCAAATTTCCTTGCAGATAAATGTTCAGCCTGAACATGCGCAACATTGCCCTGATATAACCAACCGCGTATCTCTCATAATAACTGAGATCCCCATGGTGGAGTTCGAAAAACGGACACCCTGTATAGAAACTTCTTCAATCATTCTTGATCCATATATATACAACTCTTGAAAGAGGTTTTTTTCAATTCGATTGGTAATTATTGTTGAATTAGTTGAATTCGTAAATTCACACCGAACAAACTGAATTCATTTCTGGTATTTCTATAATGTCACTTCTGACTGGATATATTTCCGTAGGAATTCTTTTCAAGATTTCTGATACACATAGCGGCATCTATTTCATAATACTATATGCATCACCGTTCACCTATTTGCAGATTGTTGTTTTGACTGAGGCATCCGAAGAATTATTGTAATTGCACATGTATAAGAGATATTGCGTGTAACTGTTAACTGTTTACTGTATTACTGCATTCATGCAATTGATACAATCACGCAATTGAATGATTATTATGCGATGATTGCGGCTCCTCAATGATTCAAGCAGACAAATGGAATTCGTGCTGCCTATCCTCGCTGTTTCTCAAGTACGAATCAATCACGCAGAAATGTCGTATTGGAAAAATATCACTGACATGGATAATTATTGGGTATTCTTCACTCATCAGCTGCTTATTGCTCATTGGGCATTCATATACTTACACAGACAAAAAGGATTTTCTCAATCAAACAAATCCATCGGATAAAATAGCTTCATTCAAGATTTTTCCATTTGATCTAAGCAATTTATACTTTTCTGAAATCATAATTCGCATGCTTGTTTCGTCTCCTGACTTTTGTGTCGATTGCAGAAAAACACAATTTTGACTGTCATTCATAAAAATTTGAGTTCTTGTTTAAACTAATTGTGCACTTATATTTTGACGAAGCTACATTCAATAAAATTCTTAACCGATTATGCTCTAGTGTGGAAATTCCATAAGAAGCCTTAGTTATTTAGAAAGGGCGATTTCTTGGATTTTTGCACGATTAGGGACCAAAAAGGTAAGAATACAAAAATGACATAAATATCGTTTTTCTACTCACATAACTAAAATGGCATTTAGCGTACGGATATGTACCACGCTAAATGATCGATTAATCACGGATTGTCGATCTGTGATTTATTCGAAATATTAAACACGTTACCATGGCAACACGATTTCTTAAACACATTACCATGGCAACGCAGTTCATTAAACACAGCTTCGGTAATTTGAGACATGTCTGGCCTGTGAAATCGGAGAGAATGTTCTGGTACTTGAATATCTCCAAGAAGTGTAAAAATGAAGCATCCATCTTTGAGAACAATTTATTTATTCTGCGCTAAGCATGACAATAAACGTGAAACAAAGGTTAGTAAGCAATGGACTGGACACATACACATCTACAACCAATATATCACTTATACGTGCCTCACTGGTTGCATGCAATTCCCATTCCTTTCAAATTGATTTGTAGGTTAGCAGGAATTGCAGGTATGCTAATGTAATTTTCGGAATTCGTAGAAAAATCATAGTATGTGACGCGTTTATAAACTCTTCTAGACACTCGTTTATTAAACACTCGCTCCGCTCTGCTCCGCTCGTGCTTAAAATACTCGTTACTAAAAGGACGTTTATAAGACTTGTTACATAATATACTATTACATACAGTGCGTATATTGTTATATGTTGTTATCAATGCACGAACCTTGTAATTTTTTGAAATTTGTAGAAGAAACATATTTACAGAAAGCTGAGATACAGGGAGTCCCTGACTGCAACATTTTCAAAATTGATCTGTGTCTCCAAAACAAGGCAGGTGATGAAAATATATGCAGCTTCTAGAGTTTCATAGAATGAGTAGTCAACGTTCGCGAAAACAGCAAATCTCTATAAAAAATAAACGAGATATCCTGCAAGAACCATGAAAATCGGAGACCTTGTACAATGTACATGTGAGTGAGTATAAATTTCAGTTTTTCGAAGAACTAATTGATGAAAGTGGACTGCTAAAATATATTATGTGAGTACGCATAACTTAATTGTTTGGAAAAAGAATGTCCCAGTCCTAGACTAATTTTTTTGTAGGTATATAAATGTCGAAACAAATAAATAGCTCCAGACAAACAGACTGAGAGTATCTGTGATGTATTGATGATTACTGTACAGTGTGTCCCGTTTTCGATGCTTCTGCGTAATATCTCAGTTATCTTTGGAGACAAAACCTTGCGGTTTTTGCGGTCCGTTGTTACTTTTTCATGAAACTCACAATGGCCTTATCAGATTTTGAATAACTGTGTTTGTTTATGGGATACAGGGTGATATGAAAAATTCATACTCTTTGGACCTCTATATCTACGGAGGTTTTGAGCGAAATTGTCAAATTAACATCTCATCCCATAAAGAATTTCACGCAGAATCCATGAACTCATTGAACTCCTTATTCTTTTCCCTTCAAATAATATATAATGTGTGAATTTGAAATCTCCAGGAATGCACCAAAATCACTAAAACATTGAATTTCAATGGATTTTTTATAAAAAATCAAAAATTCCAATCGAAGAAATATCTCTTTTTATTCTTCCATGAAGTGGAAAAAAATAATACCAACACTAATTTACTAACAAAACAAAAAACTCAGGTACCTCATAGCAACAAATGAATGATAGTGATACTAAAAAGTTCATAATGTGTCCATATAAACTTTCAAGGTCAATAACTCCGTATGGAACAGCCATGGATACTTTTTTTATGAAGTACTCACATTATCATCATGGCTTACTCGATCAATAAATAGATTTTTCATTACCTTTGGAATGGTTGAGATGTTTCCACCATTCCGGTAAAAGAAAGATAATGGAATCAAACGGCGGAAGCAAAATGTCATATTTGTCACCACTGTCAAGAATGCCTTCAATAAACGGAAAAAAATCGTTCCATCCTGTATAAAACATAATCACCGAACAGCCCTCAACATATCGAAAGGAGCATTATTATGAGTAAATTTATTTGCCCAAGTATCATTGATATCATGGCAACCGTTTTGAAGTTATTCATGAAATTTTTTTTTTATTTATTCAAACTTTCAAGGTCAGGTTGTGTAACTCCGTGACGAAGAGTCATAGACATTTTTTCAAATGAAGTACTAACAATATTTTGGTTCTCTCTATCAGCCCTATCATTCACGACATGACCTTTTCGGACACCCTGTATCAATACAAATCTCAGATTGGTGCGAATTTAGATCAGAGTATAATAACTCACACCAGGTAATTAGTATTCAACATCAATTCCAAAAACACCGGTGCTTCAAGGTGTAAAGTAACACTAAAATTTGCAGTACCTCAAAGAAAATATCAGTCGGTGTTAGCTGGTGTTTCGATATTAATTGGAGTGGGAATATCAGGTAATAAAGCATAATCGCCTTCTATAAGGCGTAACGAAGATATGTGATTTTTGGGATTGACAGTTCTAAAAATAAATTGTATAGAAAGCACCAATACTACTCAAGGGGGTCCGAATGATTATTCAGAAAAAGCAATGAAAGACACAAAGTCGGTAACCCACAAACCTATTTAATGAAAAGGGGATCTGTAACAAGTTTTGGCCACAGTCCATCATCAGACACAAAAAATTAGATGCATCGTACTACCCTAGCAATACATATTGGAAATAAATGCAAATTATACAGCTTAGCTAGGTCAACTAATTCACAGAACCGATATATTTTTGAATAAGTTGACACCTAAGCTATGTATTCCTGATATGTATTGCTGAGGTTTAACATTATCTCATTTTTTGCGTCTGACGATGGCCCCTGGCCAAAACTAGTTAAACACCTCCTCTTCAACAAATAAGTTTGTGGTCGACCAACTCTCTGCCTTCTATTGCTTTATATGATGAATTAAAAAAGTTAACTCACCTTGCCAATTTCATGTATCTGCAGGAACGTCGCAATCCCAGCCCTAACCCTGTTTTTCACCCCTCTCACAGTACCCTTAGCACTCCGAATAGTAGATGCACCATCGCCCAAAATGTCCCTATACCCCGCGAAAGTTTCCCCCCTGTCCACAGGATCCACCTCATCAGGCACTTCACTCTTATCCACTCTGTGCTCGTTCAGATGAAACTTGAAGAACAAATCCGGATCTAGAACCGCGTTCCTCTTGTTGATTGCCTCTTCTTCCTTCTGCCTCTCTTCATACGACTTCTCATCCACTTTAGTAGAAGGAGTCAGGGACAAAGATGGGGATAACGAAGAAGATAACGATGAGGATAGTGGAGTAGAACTCTTAGGGGCTCTTTGTCTTATGTCTTGAAGCAGAGTTGCTGGGAGAAATGGAGAATTTATGGAGGTATTGGAGGTATTATTTGAGACATTGGTGCTAGAACTTTTTGATAGATCACTGGAGTATTTGCTAAAGGAGTTCAAGGGGGAGCTGTTGAAGCATTTGATTGATGAGTTACTAACGGAACCTTGAAATGAACCGTCGGTGGAATTATTGTAAGATTTGTTGTTGTTGAATATAGGGGGTTGAGGTGGTAGGTTGACGGGGGATATTTTGCCGCTTGTGATGGAGTCGCAGCTAGAGTTGCTGTCGTTGTCGTCGCTGTCAATTTCGGCACCGCTGCTTGAGCTAGGCGCGCGCTTGTGGGAGCCTAGAACAAAAATGTTGAGGTCAATAATTTAGGAATATACTTGAATTTCGATGCCATATATATTTGAGAGTTACCAGAATGGATAGCCCTGACAACATTATAATATTTGGCGCAAGAAAAGTTTCCAAAGACGAGATTACAAGTCATCTCAATAATGAATAAATGATCCGAAATTGTTGAAAATCGAAGCACATCGAAGCAAATTTGAAACAGGATAGGAAGATTCTCGAGCACATTTCCATATTTCCAGTCATTTCGATTTTGCCCGTATAATTTGAAAACGGTTCGTGATGTTTTTGATTTCGGAACATCGTGAAATTGTTCACAAAAATAGGAATTGTATGTCTGGTATAACGATATTCCTACTATTCACTGTTTTTGAGACACCTTTGAACAGTGACACAACATTGAAAACACGGTCTGTAGAATATACATACATATATTCAGAACAATTCAAAATCAACATTTTTCTCCACCACTAGCTATGAAACATGACATTATTTACTACTTTTCGGGGCGTGGAGTGTGTTTTTACTACGAAGGTAGATTTCGTCATTTTATGAATCAATAGTCAATAAAGACATGAGCTTTCATTGTGACAACAGGTCCATATTCCGGTTCCACAGAACTGAAATGATTGACTTATATTGCTAGTACCCCTCGGCTCAAGCCTCGGGATATAATCTTGGACCCTGGGTGATAATGATATTATTTACTACCTTGGTGTATAAATAACCATTGTAGCTCACAGAAATGTACGAACCAAATATTTTCTTCTTATTGAATATTCCTATTCAGAGGCGAGCTACATAACTCAATGCTAGAATAGTTAACATAACACGCTTCCTTGCTGATAGTCTTACTCTTCGAAATTTGAAAAAACAAACAAAATCTTTTCGATTTCTCTAGGATGCTTCTTCAGGTTTCGAAGATATTCTCACGATCTTCTGGATCCGACTGTCGAGGCAGCAAACTCAATTGCATTTTGATGGTGCTGGTCGTCGAAAATTTCGTACGAAAATAAGCCCCAGTAGATATTTCACGATTTAGTGTTGTCACATTTCTAACAAAAGTTCAAGAATGTATCGTAGTTCTAGTACCACGCAGTGGTAGCCTCTTAGATGGAGTGGTCCGCTTAAAAACTTATATTTTGTAACTTATTCGAATACCCGCAAGATTACCCGTGTGCAGCGTGTCTACTGTTTGAGGTTGAATATACCACCCTGCAGCCGAATTCTTGACCCTTGGAACTTGAAACGTATGTGTTCTGACTAAACAAGCTCTACTTCAGGTACCGTGCTTCCTCATATCAAAGGTTACTTGTCTGGGAAGTGGAGTATATTGTGCAAGAAGTGAGAAAAGTATTTTACTAAATTTTGCACACTTTACTATTTCTAGAACTAGACGCCTTCAAAGTTTTCGACATCTCTTTAGAGTATATCAAGAGTACACTCTCGAAAAGAGATTTCATTTCTCTATTTTTTCATAAATTCTTCGTATTTTAACGAGAAATTTTTGGAAACAAATCTAACGATACTTTCGCAGTACTTTCCATTATCTCTGGCGGAGTATTATCAGAATCGTCACTACATAGCCATATTATTTAATTTCATTTCATTTATTTATTTATACTGCAAAACAAACAGGCAAAGCCCTTTTACATGTTCACAGTTGTAGAATAATAATATATAGTAAACAGTATGCAAATGCACAGAAATACGATACAAAAAACATCTAAAAAAAATATGATTATTAATATATATATGCATCAAAATCTAAAAATATCACAAGAATTCATATCAAAAATATCAACATCATTATTCACATTAAAAGAGTTAACATTCATCAGACACCTGTTTAGAGAAGTACTAGGATTGCTAACTTTAAATAAAATGTTTCATTTGGAACACTTATAGGTATTATAGAGAGTTTCAGGTACATTTAAATGTCCACTAAGAACATTTATTACAAATACCACATCATTTAAAAATCTTCGATGAGACAATGAATCAACATTCAGTTGCAGTCTTTGGTTATTATACTAAGAACAAAGTTGAGTTTCTGGTAGGCATCTTTCACTATACAGGGTGTTTCGAAATTCGACCGACAACGTTTGACAGGTGATAGCCCTCGTGATTTCATAATCATTGAGATAGGAACATTCGGTCTTCAAGTGTTCAGTTCTCGAGATACAGGGCGTTGAAGTTGAGAAATGAAAATAGTTGTTTCGCAATATCTCAAGAATAATTGAATATAATGCATTCAACTTCGGTATATGGTTTCATCTTTGAATGGGTCATTTTTTGACCTGGAAGCCATTCCGGACATTTTGTCCAGTGGTGCCCTACAGGGGGTTGTGGCATTTTTTCCTTCCATATTTTCTACGCCACTGATTGAATTTCGATTATTTCCAATTCCTCGAATTCATTGTTCAATTTTGTTCAGAAAATGCATCACCTTCAACTGAGCTGAAATAAACAGTTTTCGAGATATTCGACCCAAAATAGAAGATTGCATAGTAATATTTCATCATTTTCAGTAGTAGAAAATTGCAAAAATATTTTTCTGGTGTTGAGTAGATTAGATACTATTCAGATCTCATTCCATAGCTGAACAGAAATAGTTATTCCACGCATGAAGAGAAAACAAAAATTTTCGTAATTTTTTACTACCGAGGAAGATGAAAAATTACTATGCATACTTCTATTTTGGGTCAAATATCCCGATAACTGTTCATTTTAGCTCAGTTGAAGGTGATGCATTTTTTCAACATAACTGAACAAACAATTCGAGAAATTGGAAATAATTGAAATTTAATCAGTGGCGTAGAAAATATGGGAGGAAAAGTTATCACAACCCTCTGTAGCGCATCTCTGGATAAAATTCTCGGAATGTCTTTCTGGTCAGGAAATTAATCAGTGAAAGATGAAACCATATACCGAATTTGAATGCATTATATCAAATTATTCTTGAGATATTGCGAAAAAACTATTTAAATTTCTTAACTTCAACGCCCTGTATCTCGAGAACTGAACACTTCAAGACCGTCTGTCCCTATCTCAGTGATTATGAAATCACGAGGGCTATCACCTGTCAAGCGTTGTCGGTCGAATTTCGAAACACCCTGTATATTCAATGTGCATTACGAAATTGAAAGGACCATTGAAAATAACCCCTAAATCTTTGATATAATCAAGTCTCTCCAGTACAGTGTTATCAATAGAATAATTTCCTTGAATCGCCATTTTTTTTCTTGTAAATGTCATCATTTTGCATTTGCCCTCATTCAATTGTAGGTCGTTCATGTAACAAAACTCCACGACACCATCCAAATCATTTTGCTGGTCTATACAATCCGTTAGGTCGCTCACACTGTGGTGGAGTTTCAGATCGTCAGCATGAAGAAGAAATCGTGAAGTCTTGATGTAGTTACCTATATCGTTGACAAATAAATCGAATAACAAAGGACCTAGTATTGACCCTTGAGGGACTCCAGATGTTGCTATGAACTTTTCAGAACAGGCATCATTATATTGAACATACTGTATTCTATTATGTAAATATGATCTCATCAATGCAATCATGTTTTCATCAAGAGAAAAACATTTCAATTCACTCACAAGGATCGAGTGATTGACTTTATCAAAGGCTTTTGCCAGGTCTGTATATATTACATCTACCTGCATCTGAGAATCAATAAAAGTAGATACATCATTACTGAATATTGCAAGGTTGGTTACTGTAGATTTCTTACTTAGAAAACCATGTTGTTGTGGTAGTATTAGTTCAACGTGCTTGTATAATAGTCTGTTGTGGATAACCTTCTCAAAAATTTTGGATGGGGAGGGGAGAATCGTCACTGGCCTGTAGTGTTTAATCTCACTGGGATTTCCGTTTTTATAAATTGGCTTTATGCGACCTATTTTGAGTTGTTCTGGAAATACATTGCTTTCAGCACATATATTGAATATTATAGCTAACGGACGTTTAAGAATGTCCATGTATCCCTTGAAAAAATATGATGGGATTCCATCCACTCCAACTGCAGCTTTGGGCTTAAGGGTTTTAATTGCCTGCCCACCATCATTCACTCCTTTTCGAGGCGTAAAATGTGTTTTTACTATTGAGGTTGTTTTCGTCATTTTATAAACCACTAGTCGATAAAGACATAGCCAACTCTGTTGTAATTAACCCGGATGCACTGTCCTGATCAGAGATTCGCAAGAATGGCACTGGAGTCTAGTAGGTATTCATCAATAACGACTTGACATATACTGTCATGGCATGGCTAAGTATTGAAAATAAGTGCTTTGTGTCTTTCAACGAACGAATAAAAACTAGTTGAGAGATTTGGGAAACATTTGCTGACTGGTATGACAGCACACAGCATCAGCAGATTAAAATTGTAACCATTTCTTTTCATTCTCCATATAATCGTGATTTATGTGTCAAGGGCGTGAAATAGGCTTTTATGGACCGACAACGAAGGCTATTAACAATCCTAGGTCTATAAAAGCCAGTTGAGACCAAAATACACGAATTTTATGCACGACCATTTCAGACATAATTATTTTGAATTCATTTGTCCAAATTATGTATGTCACTGGCGAAGGGAGATCGAATGGTAGTTCACTAGAAATTACTGATAAAACAGTGAAATCACTTTACCACCGGCTGTACCCCTTCACGACTCTAGGGCGCTAAAGTGCAACTTCACGCTCGCAAATTCGGGGGTGGATAAAGTGCCACTTTACTCCCGGTCGGGCATGAACGTTTGTTGTGTGGGCAAAGTGGCGTGATCAATGATATTTCTCACAGGATCAGCTATACATGATTTTGAAATTGGGTTAGCTTTGAGAAATACGTACCTATCATAGCAATCGTAGAAAAGCATGTTGTTCTTCCGATTCCCAAAACTCAATGTGAAAATAACGATATGCGAAATTGGCGGTATAGGTGAAGGGGTCTTTGCTCACGAAATGAAGTTAATAATAATAATT